AGTCCTGGTGTCACTGAACTGTCCCCTGTTCCCAGCTGACCTACGAGTCTCACGAGGCCCCAGACAGGATCCCAGAAGGATGTGTTTTCAGAGACTGATGAACCGACTCTTAGATGCACGTGGAATGCCAAGGCCCTGAGCACCGGGCGACGCTGCGTAGGGAGGAGGCCGTGGGAGTCTCACCGCTGGACTCCGAGACCCGCTAGGGGACCACGGTCACGGAAGCGGTGACGTGGCAGGCAACTGTCGATGGAGGGGTTAAAGCGTGTGGCAGTCGTCCCACACTCATGTCACTGGCAGGGTTTGTGGACAAGTCAACTGAGAGAGAGAGGCCACCTCCACACCTGCTGGGACACCTGGAAACCCACCTGGGCGAATGCGCAACGCCCCCCCCATGGTGCCACGCACACAACTGATTTGAGACTCGCTGCAGACATAAAAGCCCTCGAAGGTAGCACAGAATACTTCTGCATTCTTGCGGTAGGCAAAGATCTCCTATGACACAGAAAAACATTAATCATGAAAGAAAAAAGTAGATAAATGGAACTTCATCAAAATTTAAATTTTCTATTCTTCTAAAGACACCATTGAGAAAATAGCAAGGCACAGATTAGGAGAAAAATATTCATAACACCATCACACATGACAAAGAACCTGTATCTGGAATACATAAAGAATTCATAAAGTTCAATAATAAAGACAATTTGATTTTTAAAATCAGGAAAGGATTTTAGCAGACACTTCACAAAAGAAAATATGCAAATGGCTACTCAAAGCACTTGGAACATGGCTCAGATACATTGGCGATTAGGGAAACGGAGAGCAACCCACGCTGGGATGTTACGTCCTACCCACAAGAACAGCTAAAGTCACAGGAGTGACAGAGCCATGCGCTGGGGAGGGCAGAGTGACTCAGCGCCACAGGCGGGGCAGCCTCTCCTCGGGAATCATCCTCTCGCGGTCTGGGCAGGTTTCTGGCGAAGGGCCTGACCGTGGCTCGAGTGTGGGGTGGATGGAGAGTGCCGGCGTCGCTTCCGACCGGGACACCAACCACGTCGGAGCAGGGGCCCCCGCCACGATGGACCTCAACCGCTTCCTTCCAAACACGGCCACACTAGGGTCAGGGCATCGGCGTGGTCTGGGGACACACTCGGCCCACGCACGGCGCAGGGCTGGAAGCCAGATGAGGGCCACGCCCTGCCGGCGGCCATGGGGCAGGCGCCCATCCCCATGGGCAGCGCAGGGCTACACGTGCCCACCCCGCCCGCCTCGGTCGAGCTCCAGGTGAAACCACGCGCTCAGGCCCTGGCGGGACGGTCGAGGCAGCCAGCCCTGCAGCCGAGACAGCCGCCCCCAGGGCCTGCCGGGGGAGCTGTTCCTGGGCCTGCGCCCTGGGAAACTGGAGGAGGGGACACTCCCCGGATGGTGTTATGTGACCTGCGTAACAGGGACCCCACGCCTGGCGACGTCACGAAAAGGAAAGTTAGAGCCCCGTTCCCTGAGAGCAAAGGCACAGGAACCTGCGCCAGACGTGGGCGGATCAGACGTGGCCGCGGCAGAGGCGGCCGACCTCCCCAGCGCAGGGCAGGTGTGGCATCAGAAGGTCCGGGTCATTCGCTGTGGTGACAGGAGGAGGAGGAGGAAGAGCCACACGAGCGTGTGATAAGATTCACGGCAAAGACGTCCGGTGAACCAATGTTGGGCGGGACCCTTTCGGCCCGACAGGAGGCGTCCGAGAGAAGCCTGCCGCGCCTGTCGCTCTTGCCGCTGGGAGAGCAGAGGCCACGCGGGACGGGAGCGCGCCGGGTCCCTGCTCTCACGGCCGCCCCCAGCACTGGGGTCTCTGTGCAACGAGACACGAAAGGGACGGGAGGCAGGAAGATTAGAGCGAGAGTGAATTATTATTCGCAGATGCGATCGTGCGTGTAGAGAACACAGAGGGTCTGAGAAACCGTTGCTGAAATGGACACTTGGATTTATGAAGGCTGCAGGATCGATGCCAAAAACAGAGTATTTCACATTCTATTAACATATTAGAAAACAAAATTTTGAAAGTCCTATCTGCATTCATCAAAAGCCCTAGATGCCTCACTCCAATCTGGTTGGGGATGTGTAAGATACGCACATCAACAGCTGTAAGACGTGGCCGGCGTGGACTCTGAGAGACAGAATAAACGGAGATGCCACGTGCGTGAGTCAGCTCGACATCTGCCCACTTCCTAGGCCCGGGCCAATCCTGATCAAACTCCCAGCAGGCTTTTAAAAAGAGAAACTGACAAGCTGAATCCACGTCTGCACGGAAACACAGGACCCTGGAGGATGACCGAGCTGGGGCGCGCGCTGCCCGACCCACGGCCTCCCCGAGAGCAGGGCGGCGTCCGTCCCGGCCAGAGCAGCAGATCCCCGGGGGGCGGAGTCGGAGACAGACCCACCCCGCCCGTTCTCCGCCAGCGCACCACGTCAGGTCCGTGGGAAAGCGACGTCCATTTTTTACGAGGAGTGCCGAAATAGTTGGTTATCTGTATAGAAAAATAAAATGAGCTTCAAATGCTATTTCATCCATACCAAAATTTTATTTGAGAGCAAAAATCGTGGACCTAAATGTAAAAGGAAAACAAAGTTCTTACAAGAAAACCTCTATGTGGCCAAGTGGCCAAAGCTCTAAGTCAAAACAGTAAGAAAGGAAAGTCTTGTTTAATTTTTATTTACTTATTATATTTTTATTTTTTTTTCACAAATATAAAAGCCAGAATCATAAAAGTTTTTCCAGGATAACGTAGACTGCTACCTTGGGGTATCAAAGATTTCTTGGACAGGGCACAACAACTACTGACTGTTAAAAGAAAAAGTATTGATAAATCACTCTTCGTTGGAATTAAAATTTTGCGGGAAAACACCATTAGGAAAATGAGCAGGCGACCACTGACGGGGGAAGATGTTCACAGCGCAGGGGTGTGATGAGAGATGAGCATCCGGAGCGTGCACGTCCGCTGTAAAAGCGTGGACCAGAGGCGTGCACACGCGTCACAGATGAAGGCGTGAGAGTGGTCCTGCCACGCCGCGCCCGCCGCGCAGCCGAGTCCAGCCCTCGCTGTTGACGTGGGGTGCTGGTGAGCCCGTGGGCAGCCGGGACTCCCGCACACGGGACGGGGATGGTGCAGCCGCTCCCGGGGCTGCCGGCATCTCGCGCGGGCTGACACGTTGCCCCTGCCGCAGCCGGCGGCGTCACCGGGGCCTCCCCGGGGCAGTGCAGCCGTGTGCGCACACAGGCTCGGACGGAACGTTCACAGCAGCTTCATCCGTGACAACCCGACGCTGCAGACAACCCCGCGTCCTCCAGCCGCAGAGCGATGGGCTGCGGCACCTGCGTGCGGGGAACAGGACGCGGCGGTCAGAAGAGCCGGCTCCCGCCGCAGGCAGCTGCGCAGACGGCGAGCCAGACCGGTGCCTGAGGCACCCGCGTGTTTGGGTGGGTCAGGAGCAGGTGGGTGGGGCTGGGCCTGTTGGAAAGCACGTGCTCCGTGGCGGGATGTCCCTGTCCTGTTCCATGGTGAGAGGCCAACGCCCACGCCGTGCGGCAGAGCACGCTGAGCCGAGCGCTCGGGGTGTGGTTTGCTTCCTGTGAGTCATGGCTCAGCCTTTCGACTTGGAGCCAAATCAGGGGTTAGCTTTTTGCGCACGTGCTCAGTGTGATATGCGCCCAGCGAGCGCCACACGCCTGGCCTACGAGCAAGTTGGCTGTAACCGACGGTGACAGGCGGAAGTGAGGCGCGGCGGGCATGCAGGGCTGGGAGGCAGGACCAGGGAGTGGCCAGGCCTTCCCGGGAGGGGACGGGGACCAGGCAGGGGCTCGCTGCGGCACGCGTATGGGAGCCCATGGTCCTTGCCCGCCAGCGGCCACATAGGCAACCTGGTGCCACGTGGGACTTCCTGCGGCTGAGGAGGGCCCAGTGGGCAGAAGGCGTGGGCAGGTGCCACGCAGGGAGATGCTTCCAGGGAGGGGAGCGCCCAGGGTACGAGACGGGCCACGCTGGTTGGTGGGGAGCGAGGCAGGCGGGGCAGGCCGTGGGCACTGGAGTCGCAGCCCGGGAAAATCACGTTAGACACAGTGACACCCACGTGGGCCACGGCACGTCCCGTGACAGCCAAACCGAGCAGCCGCGGCTGTCACTTCCTGGATAGCCTGCCCTGGTCCCAGCCCCACGGCGGGGGCGAGTGTCCCCATTTGCGGCGTCACATCAGCGGGGCGGCCCTGGAGAAAAGGGCTCTTTCACGTCCCATCGCCCGCCCGCGAGTAGGGGGTAGACCTCTGACTGCGCCGCGGAGGCGCCATGGGAATTTTTGGGAGATGAGGTCTGCAGCATCTGACCTCTGGCCCCAGCTGCACCCCAGGCACGGCTGCTGCGACCCCTGTGTGCCTCTGGTGTCCAGCGTTTGTCACGGTGGGGGGGGCCAGGGGCGGGGGGAGACGGGCTGTTTGTTCCTCGGTGGCTTGCAGAGGCCTCTCGCCCCGGCGCCGCGCTGTGGACTGTCCAAGTCCCCGCCCGCCCCCGCAGCTGCGCAGAGCCTGTCCGTGGGCTGTCGGCAGGACGGCTTCACAGGGTGGCCAGGACGGGGCGAGGCAGTGGGGGTGCCGGTCTGCGAGGGCAGCGCCAGTCGTGTCTCCTGACTGAGTCTCAGCCCACACGGCTCCGTGGCTGGGCTGCCCTACTGCACGCACACGCGTTCTGTCCCGGGTCCACAGGGTGGGTTTCTGTTTAATTGCACGTCGTTTGCAAAATTAAAAAACAGTCAAATCGAAATCCGCTCCGTCAGATTCTAAGTTAGAACGAGCATCAGCACAGTGAAGCCAGTGACTCACGCGGCAGAACTGCTGGGAGCACGGTGGCTTCCGGGAGGACGGC